ATCATATTCAAGTCCAACCCACACCAAGGGGAGGGCATTATGAGGGTGGGACTCTTAGAATTCTGCTTCCCCTACTAGCCACCTGAGAAGTGCTATACAAACATCAGCTTATTTAATTCTTGGAACATTCCTATGAGATGGATACTGCTATTGTCCCCACTTTACAAGTAAACAAACTGAGGCAGAGAGAAAGTAAGGAGTCTGAGGTCCACAACTAGCAGGAGCCGGTGCTTTAGCAAAGCACAGTCTCCTGGAGCCAGGAACCCGTGGCAGTCAGGGAAGGAGGAGGGGAAGGGAACCCGCCAAAGTTCCTGTTGCTGTTTCATAAAGCATTGCCATGGAAACCCTGCATGAAGCATCACTTAAAGAGCTATTTGATTTTTATTTTTCAGGGTGGCATCTGCAAGCACATAGGCAGCAGTACCAACACACACACACACACACACACACACACACACACACACACACACCATAGTTGAGTTCATGGGTCAAGCTGTAGGTACATGGCAGAAATTCTGGAAGGTCAATTGATACAGGAAGATGTTCACTGGCACAATCGGGGTTGGTCAGTGCCTCTGCTGCAGGAAACTCAGATCCAGGGACTATTTGGGTTCTATTAACTTTCACTGACTACAGGCCCAGAGGAAACTGGCTCCCAGTTGCTCCCTTCTCTGCTTCTACCAGCCCTCATTCCTGGCTCCATCCGGGCCACGCCCTTCCTGGGCCTTCTCATAGCAACTGTCTTGCTGCCATAGATCAACCAGGGAGAAAGTGAGGCCAGTGTAGCATTCACAGAATTCAGGCTCAGGAAGGTTCTAAACCTGCTGCTCACTAAGCCCCTGGGAAGAGTTCAGCTCCCATCAGGATGCAGAAAGCCTTGGAAACTAACTTGTCTCATCCCAAATCTTGAAGTAAGGGCTGTCCCCGTGGATCTAGGAGACTGGAGGTCCAGAGTAGTAACTGTTGACAATGATATTCATAACGACTACCATCTAGTGTGACTTCTCGCCAGGCCCTGCACAAAGTGGGTCTTTGTACCCATTGTGTCTAATTGCTCATTTGTCAATTCATTCAACAAATAATTATCATGCAATGACTGTTCTAGGCTCTGGGTCTACATGTGTGAAGTGATTAGACGTGGAGCTTACATTCTAGTCTGGGGAGACAGACAATAATCGAAAAGGGGGAAATGACCCATTGAGGTAAGTGCCTCACAAAGAATTAAAATGGAACAGTTTTGGAAATTCCCTGGTGGTCCAGTGGTTAGGACTTGGCACTTCCACTGCAGGGAGCAGGGGTTTGATCCCTGGTTGGGGAACTAAATGCCTGCATGCCATGCAGCGCAGCCTTAAATAAAATGAGATGAAAGGTTAAAAAATAAGTAAATAAATTAGAACAGTTGGAGGGAGGACCCAGGGGCTTCTTTCATTTGTGTGGTGAGCAAAGGCCTCTCTGAGGAGGTTAAGCAGACATCAGAATACAAGGCTGTGTCAGGGAAAAGATACAGCTGATGCCAAGACCCCCAGGCAGGAGGAGTTGGCTTGGTGAGCCTGAGAAGCAGGAGGACAGGCCAGCATGTCTGGAGGACAGCAAGTAGGGAAGAGAGGGCAGGAGTGGAGGCTGACCAAGGAGACTGTAGGTCTGGAGCATGGTTTTCACGTGCCTGTTTTCACTAAGGCAGGTGCATGCTCTAACCTGTGCTTTAAGAGATCCTTCTGGCTGCTCCATGAAGAATGGTTGGGTGGGAACAAGAGTGGAGTCAGGGGTCCAGTTAATAGACATCTGTGGGGGCCGGGGGAAGGATGCTGGTGGCTTGGGCCATGGAGACAGCACCGCAGCTGGAGGGAAGGGCGTGCATTCAGGTGTCATTAGCAGGGATGGCTGATAATCTGGATATGGAGATGGAGAAGAGGATTCTGGAGTATTCCCAGGGATTTGGACCGAGCAGCAGGGTAGATTTCATCCTTGTAAAAGCTCTCGGGTGGCCTATTATCTGCATTTCGTAAGCTAAGCAAGCCCCTGGTCACCTGACATCAGCCACAACGTGGATGGCCTATGAAGATTTTATGCTAAGTGATAACAAGTAGTCACATCATAGAGGGAGAGAGTGGTGGTTGCCAGGGGTGGGTAGTGCAGCGGATAAGGTTAGTGTTTAATGGTTATGGAGTCTTTGTTTCACAAGATGAAGAATGTGGTGGATGGATGGTGCTAAGGATAGTACAGCAACGTGAATGTACTAAACACGGCTGAACTGTGCCTTAGTCAGGGTGAAGATGGTCAATTTTATGCCATGCATGTTTTCTCACAATTTGTTAAAAAAAAAAAAAAAAAAGGAAAGCAGGCCAGGGATCACACTGTTGGAAAGAGGTCAAATCAGGTTTTGAACTGGGCTCAGCAAACTCCACGTCTGGTGCGTAGAACTGCCTCCAGGAACACAGGGCCCCAGCCTGCGTGCAAGCTCACCCAGCACCCAGGTGATAGTTGCCACACCTTGTGTGGGCACCAGGGGAGGATGGGAGCCCTATGTGTGGATGGTTTGGTGCCTCTTGTGGGACATCTGAGTGGAGAGGGCAACAGCAGAAAGCAGACTTCATTTTGTCTAATAGTATGCTTGTGTTTGTGGGTCTATTTTTTTTTCCAATGCAGCCCTTTAGAAGTGATACTAGTATGGGTGGTCATGAGGGTGATGATGACAGTAACAAAATGATGAAAATGTCAGTTCCCACACATGAAATGTTTGTGTGCCACGCCCTCTCCATGGAGCATTTTATCCATCCTCTCCATAACCTAATGTACACACTTATGGTATCCCCATTCTACAGATGAGAAGACTGAGGATAAATGACATTCAGAGACTCACCCAAAGCCGCCTGCCAGGCAGCAGGAGCAAATTGTAAAGTATGGCCTGTCTGTCTCCAGATGCCATTCTAGTAATAGCCCAGGTTAAATGAAGAGACTAATTAAGAAGGTATATCCATGCTGCTTCTCAGAGTTCTGTTTTTTTGGGCCAACTTGAAGGGACACGGAGTAATTATTTCCTGTACAGGCCCCAGGATCCTCCACACTCAGCCTCCCGCGTGAAAGCCGACATCGCCTTTGCTTGGCAACAAGTCACAACAGGGATGGGCGCACTCCCGCCCTGCCCCGCTCAGGCAGTACCTCACGGGGGAAACAAGATAAAACAAAATCACGCTGAGCTCCTAATTCGCATTCCATCTCCGGCAGCTCCTTGATGATAAATAGTTCTAGAATTGGAAATGAGGCAGGAGGGGGGCGCGTGGTGATCTGAGCAGAGCGGCTCAGCAGACTGTTTCCACTTGGGATCACCCTCTCTTTTTCTTGGAGCAGCCAGGGAGTTGGGATCCCTGGAGGGTGAGCAGGCACCTTTGCCACCTCCTCTAAAAAATCATTTTTTTAAACTATGTTAACAGAGACGTAGTAAAGCGCTCCATTTTGAAGGGTACGTAGCAGGAGCATCAAGTGAATTCCCATTGTTCTACAAGCATCACCATGTTCCATATCCAGAATTTGTTCATCTCCCCAACTAAAACTATATCCATGAAATCCTAATCCCCACTGCTCACTCCTTCAACCTCTGGCAACTCCCCTTCCACCTTCTTTCTCTGTGAATTGGACTTCTCTAGGGACCTCATGTCAACAGAATGTGCACCATTCATCTTTTTGTTACTAGCTTATTTCACTTAGCGTGATGTCCTCAAGGTTCATCCATGTTAGAGCATGTTATAGAATTCCCTACCTTTTGAAGGCTGAATAGTATTCCATTGTGTGGATATACCACCTTTGGTTTATCCATTCATCCACTAATAGACACTCAAATTACTTCCGCCTTTTGGCTGCTGGGAGAATCCTTCCGTGAACTTGCCTCCTCCTTCCCCACCCCAGGCTTGTTCATAACTGTATGTATTCACGGTATTGAGGTGACCAGGTTACATCAGTGTCCCCCACAGGAACTGCTACCCTGCACAGTGCCCCCACACACCCCTCAGCTCCCCTCACCAGATCTCACCCCAGGTGCTGCAGGTTTCCCTAGCGACCCTGTGTCAATCATCTGTGAAAGGCAGTCAGCTGGAGAGATTTGAGTCTCAGCTTGTCACTTACCAGGTTGGTGACCTCAAGCAAGTTCTTTACGTCTATGCTCTAAGTTTCTTCACCTGTGGAGCTGGAATCATAGTAGTACCTGCCTCACAGCTAAGAGGAGGGGGTGCAGAAGGTGGTATAGCCCCTATCCTGTGCCAGGCATCGTGTTAGTGCTTTGCATGGATTATCTGCCCCCATAACTACCTTATGCAGCAGTTATCCCCTTAATTAAAGCTAGTATAACTTTATCTGCAAAGTTACCTCCTTTCTAGGTGAGGAAACTGAGCCTCAGAGAGGTGAAGCCCTTGCCAGTAAGTGATGATGCTGGGATTTCTAAGCACTGGGCTCGCGCTCTTGTCTAATATCTTACCTTGCCTCCTCTACATGGAGGGTATCTAGCACAGGGTCTAGTCCACAGAAAGTGGCCAGCAAGTGAGGTCCAGTCTGACAAATCATGGACACAGCCATGACTGGTTCCTGGTTTGATGGAATCAACTCATCTCCTCTAGGGAGCAGAGTTGGCTTTATCGGGCAAGACTGTTGTTTGGTTTGAACATTTTGAACTTGGAGTCAGGCTGACAGGTCTGCCATGCTGAGCAAAAGCCCTGGAGATCTATCCCTGGTCTCAGGGACCTGTGAGTCCTGTGATCCTGCGAAGAGGAGGACCCATGTGTTTTATCATTTCTCAAAAGGTTCCTGATTCCAGAGTGGTGGAGATCCCCTTGGGTTCTCAGCCCATGGATCCCAGAAGGGTCTACAGGGTCTAAGGTTTGTGAGCAGCAGAGGTGATGTTATGCTGAAAGCTCAGAGAGGGGGAAAGCTCCTGGGTCAGCCAGGCTGCAGTTGTCATGGAAACACGGGCAGTCAGCACAGGTGAGGGATACAGGACAGACAGAACTAGTCAGGACTCAGGTCATGTGGGAGAAGCTAGTCCTGACTATAAGGATGACCAGGTCAGGGTTCTGAGGGTGGTAGACTAGACCATGGTACTTAAAAGACACTCAGATTTCCATGGCCAGCAAATAGAGAAGCTCATTTCTTACCCCGGTTATCAGTCCTGGGTAGGTGTTCAGTTTGGTGGGGTAGCTTCTTTCATGTGGTAATTAAAGGACGAAGCCTCCTTCCATCTTGGAGAAGGCTCCCCGGTGTGGTCTGGTCACCCACATCTAACCGATGTGGAAAAGCCTAGAGGAGGCAGTGGAGGTTTTTATGGGCTAAGCCTGGAAGTGGTATATATCATGTTTGCCCACATTCCACAAGAGAGAACCCCACTGCAAGGAAATCTGTGAAGTATCGCTCTTCCAGAGAAGGGACAATGGATTTTTTTGGACAGCTAGCTTGCTTGTTTTTTTGTGTGTGTCACAGGCAGCCAATTTGATAACCGTTTTCAGATGCCTGTTGCCTTAGGAAGTCTTTAAGGAGTAGAAGCCCACTGGAGCAAGCTCAGTCAAAAGGGGTGCATGATAAGAGCACAGAAAACTGGGGACATGGAAGTTGCCCACAGTCCACTCATTTATTCACCCATTCATTCATAGAGTCATTCATCCAAAGCAGAGTTTCTGAGTGTCTGCTCTGTCTTGGTCACTGTGCTGTGTGCGAGGATACAGAAGTGGATAATGTCAGATAAGGTCCCAGTTCTTACAGCACTTCCGTGAGGAAGTGGGGAGAAAACATAACAACAGAAGCAATTAAGAACACATAAAATGATTACACATGGCGGTCAGTGCTCTGAAGGTCACACAGAGGGTGGAGAGACAGAGGATAATTGAGGCTGGTTTAGGGGTCAGGGCAGGTCTCTCCGAGGAGGTGACATTTGAACCGAGATTTGACGGATGAGCATGGATAAGCCATGCAAAGAGCAGAAACCAGAGCACCTATGGGCCAGGGAAAGCTCTACAAAGGTCCTGTATCTGGGGCAGAAAAGAGCTCGATGTACTTAAGAATCATCCACTACCGCCTCGATCATGCTTGTTCAGACCTCTGACTCTATGTTCCACTGCGACTTCTCTGTTTAATGCTTCTGTAACTGGGCCACCAAATTCATGGGCTCTGTTCACTCTCCTTTTGCCTAGAGCTGTCAGTGGCACTTCATGCTTTGCTAGCCAAGATGATTCTCAAGATCCTCTGGGCACCACGGTCCAAGGGGACCATCCACTGGGTCCACTGGGACCACCCATGGGTCCAATGGCCCACCCATTCCTCTTCATACAAACTTCTTGTTCTCTCTGCCTTTGCTGCGTGGCCTGCCCTCCACCAGCTTCTTGTGCTGCAGGTCTTCACAGAGGTCAGTGCTAAGCTTGCAGGACCATTTGCCTAACAGAGGAGAAGGGGACATTTGAGAAGAAGTCACCTTCAAACTGAGTCTTAAAAGGTAGACTAGGATGTTGCCAGACAGAAAGGATGGAAGACACTTCAGAGGGAGGGGATGGAACATGCAGAGCCCTAAGGAAGAGGTCAGGGAAGGAGAGGTGACCATTCCAAAGGGACGGGGTGTGCATGACTGAGGGCAGGGGAGGGATGGAACTCGTGGGAGCAAAGCCGAGACAGATGGCTGAGTCCTGATGAAGGGGGGCTCTGAATGTTTTGCTAGAAGTTTCCAGTTTGCTCCACCAGCCTCAAGGAGCCGCAGAAAGCTTAAGGATGGTGCCTGGAAGCAGGTGACGGTGAAAGCAGTGTGGGGGACTGGAGAGAGGTTGAGGGTGACAGGGGACCTGCAGTGGAGGTTGGGTGGGTTGGCAGAGCACGCCTGGAATGAGAACCATTCTTCTTGGATGTCAGATATGTGAAGCGTAGCATAATGCCTGACTCACAGCAGACCCTCAAATGCTGCTGCCTCACCTCCTTATGGGGGCTGCAGCCTGGGGTGGGCTCTGGTAGTTTCTTAAATAGAAGTCCACCATCTTCAGAGTGTAAACATAATGAGGGCAGGGAGGGTGCTTATCAGTGGGACCCCTGCAGGGGCCACCTGCATGTGAAGACATTGGTGGGATGAATGAATGAAAAGCTCTTACTGTAAGCCAGTGGGCCTCCTGGGAGATGGCGGTGTGGAATGACAGTGGCCCTAGCATTTAGACAGATTCTTATCACTTTGCTCTGCTGGGCAGAGAACTAGCCCTGCTTCCAGAACTCTCCTCCAGCTCTAACTGATTGGCTTAAGGAAAAGAGGGTGGGAAGGTCAGAAATCCTTCCCTCCCGGGGCAAGCAGGAGTGACTGTGGGTCAAGTTCAGACAAAGGACAAAGGAGAAAGAGCAATTGGAGTCCTCTGGTGTCTAGAAAATCCCTGGAGCCTCTGGGTGAAGCTGTGACCCCAGGCACTAAGAGGTTGGATCCAGAATTAAGAGCTTGTCCATCTGTGGGGAGCAGTCACAACAGGCTCCATGGGGACCCTGGCCTCCGTCCTTCCTGGATGGTACACAAGGATGGAGGTGTGGCTCTGGCTCCACGGTCATGCCCTGCGCCCCAGGTCAGGTGGGGAGGACGCGCAGCTCTGTTGATTTCACTTGGGAAGGGCAGGAGCTGGGAACTCCTTCCCTGAGGCTGTCAGTAGCCCATCTCTTCTGCAAATGTCACATCTCGCCCAACTAGTTGGGCCAAACACTGGCTTCCCAACTCTGTCTCCCTTGGTCCCCATCCTCAGTAGGCTCTTCCATATACGCGCATGCATGACACATACGTATGTGTAGATACATGCACATATGCATGCATGTGCACACATATACATAGGCACACACACACCAACACAATAGCTCGGCTATAGTCACCCATGCCTCGACTGACATGCACACACACCACAGACAGTGTGCTGGAGGAAACGTAAGGAGTTCAGAGTTGTGGGAATGCAAGGTGTGAGGGGAGACGGTGGGACTGAGGATGGAGGCAGGGGCCCCGGCCGCTTGTGGAGGACTTGAGTGACATTCCAGGGATTTGAACCCCACGTCTAAGAGACAGGAGTCACCCCAGGGCCTTCAGAGAGAAGCGCTATGGTCCCAGGAGAATGGAGTGGACTGGGGCAATCTACAGACAGAACAGTGAGGAGGGGTCTGTCTCCAAGTCCCCGAGTAGGAGATGAGATGGGAGCGGGGTGGCCCTGGGCATTAGCAGCAGGGCTGGAGAGGGGGTCAGATAGGAGAGATGAAAGGATGCGGACTCCAGAGACCGAGTGGGACTGGACGGACCCCAGGCCGGGCACCAGGGCACATGCGGCTGGGGGCGAGACCAGGAGTTCAGGTAGGCTGCAGAGGGGTGGAAGCACATGTCAGGCTTCCAAGGGGAGCCCCCAGAGGCGCGGAGACTCCGACCTGTGGTGTGAAGGGTCTGGGCTGGGACTCTGACGGAGACGGATTTAGGAATCAGTCATACGAGGGACAAGAGCCTGAAACACACACGGGGCCTGGAGCTCCTGGACCCGTGCCAGCCTCACTACCTGGAACACCCTCCCTTCCCTGCCAAGACCACCCCTAACGCCTCTTCCAGGAAACAGCTCTGAGCGACTCCTTCCCGTCATCCCTGAGGCTGGGTGTCGCGGGCGGGCAGGGCGGCACAGGGTCGGGAGGAGAGGGGCAGGGTCCTGGGCTGGCATCAGCCTACTCCTCGGCCTCTGCCATCTGCATCTCTCTCATTGCTTTGGGGCTGAGCAGGACTGTTCAAGAATTCTCTTTTTTGTTTGTTTGTTTTTAAAGATTTTTTTTTTTGATGTGGACTGTTTCTAAAGTTTTTGTTGAATATTTTACAATATTGTTTCTTTTCAGTTTTGGGTATTTTTGGCCGCAGGGCATGTGGGATCTTAGCTTCCCTACTAGGGATCAAACCCACGCCCCCCTGCATCGGAAGGTGAAGCCCTAACCATTGGACCACCAGGGAAGTCCCCTGAAGTCTTCTTATTAGGATTAAAGGAGGCCTTTTGGACCGGAAGCAGCAGGCCCCTGCTTTGCTTCCCGTGTTCCAGCTCCTGGGGCCCTTCTGCTCTATCCAGCTTCTCCTCTTTCTTATGGCCCTGGCATCTTCCCCCAGGGAGCTCTAGGTGCTCATATATTGTGTTATTCGTTCAGTCATGTCTGACTCTTTGTGACCCCATGGACTGCAGCATTCCAGGCACCTCTGTCCGTGGGGCTTCGCAGGCAAGAATATTGGAGTGGTAGCCATTCCCTTCTCTAAGGGATCTTCCTGACTCAGGAATCAAACCCAGGTCTCCTGTGTTGCAGGCAGATTCTTTACCATCCAAACCACCACAGAAGTCCACTTATATATGATGACTTTCCAAATGCATCGAACATGTACTATGTGGCAGACACTGAGGTGAGCCCTCCGCTGGTTGATAACTGGGTGCTGTTATGACCTCCATTGAGATGGTGAGGAAACTGAGGTGCAAGAGGTGAAGTGACTTGCTTGTGAGACAACAGAGCTGGGATTTGAACCCAGGCCGTCTGTCTCCGGAGTCCCCTCTGCTAACCAGTGCAGCTTGCTGTCTCCTCTGTCACAACCACTAACCCCCTGCTAGACGGGGCACAGGGGAATTCAAACCCACGTCTGCGGGGCGCCAGAGCCCTTCTCTGAGCCACGACGCTCGGCGCCTGCCAGACCCTGACAAGCCTTGCTACTCCCCTCCTAGACCACGGCCTCAGCCGACAGCTGCATGAAGCCTGCAGGGGAGATCCGCACCCACCCCCACCCCACATTCCACACTGCGCCCAGGATGAGCAGAGCTTAAACGCAGGGGCCAGGCAGGCCCCCGAGTGAGGGGGAGGGGGACCCAGGCTTCCGAGAGGAGCTCTGGGTGTAGAAGGGGACATGGGAGAGAGAGGGTCTGTACCCCAGAAGAGGCTAATCAGAAGGGAATCGTTATTTTGCTGTGGAAACAGAGGTTTTTCACTGGTGTGTGTGGGAGAAGGCGTGTCTGTTGTCATACGTGTGAACACGAGAGCTCACAGGCGCATTCTGGAGGTCTGGTTTTAGACGTGCTGTTTGTGTATGAGAATGTACTCTCGTGTGTATACATGTGACATGTGTGTGGAAAGGCGAATATCTGAATGGACGGATTTGTGCCCCTGGGCTGTGAAAGTATGTTGTTGTGTCTGCTTCCATGTGAGACAGTGTGGTGCCCCCAAGTAAGGAGCTGCCCCGGGGAAGCTGCCCTGTCCGCCCTCCTGCCTCCTGACCCTGGAGGACCTGGACTGAGGGTCCCTACCTGCACTGGGGCCTCCATGAAGCCTTTGGAGAAGTCGTTGGGCTTCAGAGATGAATAAGAATAAAGAGACAAACAGACAAACAAGTCTTCCTTCCCCACCCTCTTCCTGGTTCGCAAGCTGCAAAGTGTTCCCCAAGCACCATACGTGGCCCCATTGACGAACCTGCAGGAAATGGAGCCTCGAAGCCAGTTTCTCAGTCTCACCAGCCCTTCCTCTGCCTCTTCGCTGGAATGCAGTAGCTAAGAAAGAAGGGGCACGAATCAGTCCACTGGGCGGACACCCCCGCTCCCCCAGTTCTAGTCATGTGAAGGGAGCAGCTTACCTTGTCTGAGCCTCATTTTGTTATCTGTAAAATGGGGGTAGTACCCACTTCACAGTGTTGTAATGGGGATTGAATGAGACAGGGTTCAACATAGAGTTAGTCAATACAAGTGGTCAGTAAGTGATGGTGCTGACGATGAAGAAGCTTTACAGTGATCCTACTGGGACTCAGAGGCAGCTTTACTCAGGGTCCTTTGTAGTCACCAACTCCCCCATCCTTTGCAGAAGGTACAAGAAATGGGTGAGAGTGGCCAGAAGCCTCATAGCCCAGCTCCTCCTCAGGCCCCTCTGTCTATTTCTTCTTAGAGAGTGGGAAGCTGAGGGGTCTGGAGCCTTTGGAATATTGTGCTTCTTCCCATGGGATGCAAGGTATGCTGGGGCTTCCTGGCCCTGGACAGGGCTCCAGGATTCCATACCTACAGGGCTGGAATTGGCAGGCAGGATATCACCATGGGCATCCCAAATGATGCATAGCACTTCTCTGCTGGAGGTAGGATATAGGGAACTAAGGCCCAGACTTGGAGGGGGCTGTAGAGTCTGGGGGGGCGGGTGGTTAAGGAGAAAGCAAAGCCAGTTACGGAGCCAGGGGCAGCCCCAGCCTGAGATAGGGTAACCTTTTGTATAGGCCGCCTCAACCAGGGTTAGAAGTCCCAGCCTCACCACAGGACCCCCAGCTGAACCAGGTCACTGCCTTCTCTTCTAGCCCCCTTGCTAGAATTGGTTCAGCATTCATGACTTTCTATCTGTAGCTGGGCACAAATGAAGACCAAACTTGGCTGGCCCTGGCCACAAACCTCCCCAGCCAGGCAGACCATGCCCTGCTATAAAAGTTATCAGATGGAAAGAAGAACCTACGCCTTTGCGCTTCTGTAACATAGGCTGTGGACTTCCCAGGTGGCCCAGGGGTAAAGAATCCGCCTGCCAGTGCAGGAGACACGATTCGATCCCTGGGTCAGGAAGATCCCTTGGAGAAGGAAATGGCAATCCACTCCAGCATGCTTGCTTGGAAAATCCCATGGACAGAGGAGCCTGACAGGCCACAGTCTGTGGCATTACAAGGGTCTGACACGACTTAGCAACTGAGCATGCACATATGAACATAAGCTGCTCTCACCTGGAAGCGATGATGGCTTCTTTGGAGAACTGATCCCAATCCCAAAGCTAGTGACCATCCTAACCCACAGAAAACTGTAAGTTTGGAAGTGTCAATGGGAGGTTGTATTTGTAAAAACTGTGTGTGGTAACTGGGAAAGGACTGCATAAATGTCACCTATCATTGCTGTTGTTGTTTTATGATAATGATGGATAAGGAAAACAAAGCAACTCAGGTTTATCTTATCTAGAACCTAGCAATTCCCAAAGTGTATTCCACAGAACAATTCAGAAGCTAATAGGTATTTCTGAGAGAAAAAGAAAAGAAAGAGAGGAGAGATTCTGTCATCAGATTTGTGGAGATTCTGGTTAAAGCAAGGTTAAACGGGTTTCTCTCCTGCAGCACCTCTGAGATAAATGCGTAAGCATTGGTTTCTTCCAGAGGAGAGAATTCCTGTAGCATTTTTCGATGTTGAATGCTCTTCTCATGGAATTTATTTCTCAGCCTGTGTTTTATGGAACATACTTTGGGAAACATTTCTAGGCATCATTCTGCAATTAACCAAATTTGACCCCAAATTGCATAGTTGGCTGTTCTAAGCCTAACATGGATAGTATCTTGCCATGTTTCCCCATAGGGTACCACTGGTGCTGCATGCATTGCTCTGTCTAGACAAGATGGAGCATCCTGGTGCTGGGGTGTGATAGGGCAGGGCGGGCCGAAGAGGGAACAGTGGGGTTCAGGCAGCAAAGGTCAACAGAGGCTGCATCACAGGGCGCCTTGTGCCAGCCTAAAGCTGTTCATCAAAGAGGCTAAGGCATGCCATAGTCTCCTGAAACAGGAGAGGGACAAGTGGGTACAGAATAAGACTCAGAGCTTCTGTTAGAGAGTGATCAGGGGAAGGAGGAAAGCCGCACAGCCCACTCCTCTCCTGTAACCCTGCTGTACCTAAACCTCCACAGGTCCCAGCCTGGGGGGCCTCTGAACTTCCCCCTCTGCAACCCCTCTTCTGGTTCAGTATCGAGTTCCTCAAAGCCAGGCTGTCTCTCTCCTTGTCCTCATCCCCTTTTCCTCAAAGAAACCCCCAGTTCCTTAAGAAGCTGAAGTCATTGATGGAGAGAAGACCCCCCTCTGGGGCGGAGTTGATAAAACTGGCACATTACAATCCAGGACGCCCAGTTAAATTTGAATTTCAAATAGATTTTAGTATAAGTACATCCCACATGTTGCATGGGATGTACTTATACTTTAAAAAAAGATTTGTGAGTTTCTCTGAAATTCAAATTTAACTGGGTGTCCTGGATTTTAACTGGCAACTCTATTCTGGGGCCCAGGATGTAACCTTTTTGGTGTTGCTTCTGAAGAACCTCAGGTGAAACGGGAGGTCACGGGGGCCCAGGGTTATGAAGCATCAAGGAAAATTCCCACTGACAGCCCCTCTGCACCCCCTGCTGGTGAGATGAGGGATGTCTGTGAAGCCCCAGGCAGTGATGGAGGGATGGGGCCGCTGCGGGGTCTGACTGGGTGCAGGACAGGCGTGCTCTGGGCCTGGCAAGGAGGAGAACTGTGCAAGTGTCCGGAGCACTGCCTCCATGTTGGGAAAGCAGTGAAACAAACACGGGTCTTGACGATCAAGGTTGCAGCCTGATTAGGACACAGGCTGAGGTCAAGAACTTCCCAGGTGGCGCTAGTGGTGGAGAGCCTGCCTGCCAGTGCAGGCAGATGTAAGAGGCACGGGTTCAATCCCTGGGTTGGGAAGATCCCCTGGAGAAGGGCATGGCAAGTCAGTCCAGTATGCTTGCCTGGAAAATCTGTGGATAGAGGAGCATGATGGGCTACAGTCCATAGGATTGCAGAGAGTCAGACATGACTGAAGTGACTTAGTACACACACACACGCTGAGGTCACAGGGCTCAAGTTTCAACCCCCTGCCCTGATGCCAACAGGTAGGATGAAATAGAAGAGCCAGGTAAAGTACTGAGCAGAGTGCCCAGCTCATATTAAACACCCAAAAGGTGACTATTATTATTATTGCAACTAGCTGCGTGACCCTTCAGCTCTCTAAACTCAGCTCTTCAGGGTAAAACCAGGTTCCTAATATACCTGAAGAGTAGCTCTGAGCACTACATAAATTCTATTTTAATGGGAAAGAGTGGTGACTAAACACACACACACACACACAAGCCTTATCCCATAGCCAGCACAATGCCCGTTTTCCCCAGTGCCACATTGATAGAGAAAGGAAATTTGATTTTGGTCTCAGTCCTCAGGTGCCAACTGCCTATTTTGTCTTCTCTCTGCCCTCTTCCTGCCAGTCACCTCTGTCAAGGTCTCTCACCTACAGCCTGCTTCCCTGACAGCCCCTTCCCATCCTGGACTCCCAGCAAAACTGATCTTTTCTTAGTTTCCCTTCTCAGTTGTGGGAGATGAGAGGAGGTTCTGAGACTGTAACTGAATACACACGAGTTCACGGGTACCAGACTGTGCCTTATGGGCTGGGGGCCTGTTCTATAAGTAAAGCTTGGTTGGATCAGGTACTGTCTACAGCTGCTTTTGTGGCACAGTGAAAAAAGCTGAATCATTGGGTCAGAGACCATTAGGCAAGGCCAGAAGTATTGACTCCCTGGTTCTTTACAGAAAAAGCGTGCCAACCCTTTGCCTTGCTTTACTTTGTTGCTCCCTATCTATAATGCACATTTTATATGCACACAGTATTCATTACATATGTGTGTGTGTGTGTGTGTGTGTATTCAACATATTCCATTAGGGTAGTCCCTTCCTGCCAGGCATTAAATCAAACACTAGATAAATAAAGAAAGCGTCATTCCTGCCCCTCGGGGAAGTCCAGAGATGAAAATAGACACCTAAACAAACAATTACAGGCAGGCTTAGCTCCCGTTGGAAGCCAGGGTGTTGTAAATTAATGAATGATTGAATTGTAATGTCGTATGACAAGTGCAGGAATTGAAGTGCAAGTAAAACCCCGACTTAATTCTGCAAGTGGGTCCAAAAAATCCAATCATGTAAAATGTGGGCCTGTGAGATTGCAAAATTAACCAAATGACCAGAACGAGCCTGTGTAGTTAATGGGCTGGGAGTTCCAGGATTCTGGGAGCTGGTTGCCAATGACATTAAACCTGAATTTACATTCTATCAGGATGTCTTTTCCTGGGGTTTCCCTGTTTAGACAAGCCCCTAAGGGTATCAAGGAGGGCTTCACAGAGGAAGTGGAGGGGGGCAAGATTAAGGGAGCAGAAGATAAGGTAGAAAATGACAGCAGGGGTCAAATTATAGAGGGAGGGGGCTGCCTGAACTGAAGATTTGATTTATTCTGACAGCAATAGGAGGGTTCTCATGGTTTTCTTTTCTCTTTCCTTTTATTAATTTTGATTCTTTCACATCATTTTTTATTCTTACACTCATCATGCAGAAGACTAGAGGACCTACATTTGCCCGTGCCTCTTGGTGGTAGGCAACCACCTTGGGCACGTGTGCTCAAAAAGGGAGAACAGGGCAGGGCTGTGGTGACTCTGCCATTCTAGAAAGCTCACTGCAGCATCAGTGCAGACAGTGCATTGGAGGGGGCAGGGCTAGCGGCAGGGCGATCAGAGTTGGGTGCAGAAGTCCAGGGAAGAGACGATGAGGATCCTCAAATGAGAAGGAAAGAGAGGGCAAGTGTGATTTATGGAGGACAGCGATGTCCCAGGGAGAAGCTGGGCTTGCTGCTCCCAGAAGTCAAAGCCCAGTAACAAGAAAGGCGCTGGAAATTGAACAGTTCACAGCTCAGAGAGATAACCCAACCAGGCTAATAGAATAACCTATATGAATAGGTTACCGCGAGTGGTTCTCACTTTCAGCTCTGCTCTCCAGTCACCCAGAGGAGCTTGGGCTCTTCCTCTGAAATTCCAATTCAATAGGTGTGGGGACAGGTCTAGGCGTTGGTATTTTTATAAAACTCCCCATGTGCTCCTGATGCCAAAGGTTGCAAAATTGAAAACATGAGCCAAGAGAAAGGCTCACAGTGGAGAGTTTATGCCAGATGCTGGGCAGGAAGATACTTGGTAGGACAGGACCCTGTGGACTCGTGAGTGGCATACCCCATCTGAGGTCCTGGCACCCCTGCCTTCACTCATTGACAGGTAGCAGGAAATATACAGGACCAGGCTTCCTGGTGGTTCAGACAGTAAAGGATCCACATGCAATGCAGGAGACCCAGTTTTAATCCCTGCACCAGGAGGCTCCCCTGGAGAAGGGAATGGCCACCCACTCCACTATTCTTGCTTGGAGAATCCCATGGACAGGGAAGCCTGCATCCTTGGGGTCTCAAAAGAGTGGGACATGAATGAGTGACTAACACTGAACAGGCTAGGGGTTGACTTGCCTGGTTTTCACCCCAAGTCATTCCATGAGGAGAATGAGTGTGAGTCCCCTATGAGGGTGTTTCAAGGTACACCAGTTACCGTGAGCCCTATGTGGAATGATCAGTGCAGTAACGGCCTAGCACAGGTCAAAGTACATGGGCTTAGCAGCCAGGCATTGCCGTGGACACCCAGCTCCGCCCCCAGAGTGCTATGGCGTCTCGGGTAATGTGCTCCAGCCTCTCTGGCCATCATACTCATCTCAACAAGGGATAACAGCCCTTCTCTCAGTGGTTTATTGGGAGGATTCAATAAGATCATTAAGTCACTCAATAAACTTTGATCAAGGTATCATTATACATCAGGCACTGTTCAAGGAACTAGGACACAAAAGGGAACAAAACATATTAAAAAGATATCTGTCTTCATGGAGCTTACATTGTAGCAGAGTGAGACAAACAATAAACAACTGAATGCATCAGCTACATACTGTATCAGATGTAGATGGGAGGAGAGGAAGTGGAGACAACAAGTGTAGATAATTCTTTGGGATGGAAATATATACAGAGCACTTGACAATGAGGATGACACATAGTAAGTGTGCAGTTGTGTTTACTAGGCCAAACAGGAAAGCAAGGGGGTTGTAAATACTAACTAAGATATAATGTGAGATGAAGAAGTGCCTAGCCTAGTGTAGGCACTCAAAAGGTAATAGATCTTATTCTTTCCTCCCCTGTCCATACCCACTGCCCCTCAAGTCTCTCTGTCTCTCTCACACACACACACACACACATGCAACACCATCTTCCCTGTCCATACCCACTACCCTTCAAATCAAGCACAGACACACATACCCAGCACCATCTCCCCTGTCCATGCTGAGGGCTGGGGAAGAAGCAATCCTTCTTCCTGCATCCTTTCTCCCAGCCATCCTGTCAGTTTGTATCAACCGTATGGCCCTGGAGATCAAACAAGTTACTTAATGGAAGATAAGGAATCAAACATATGGAGGGTGCTTGTCCAGAGAGCATAAACGACTCTTCATTATAATATGGCAACTAAAGTCTCAAATTAAAAATAAAAGAAGGCATGATGTAGCTTTTGCTGCACTCCAACCACAAAGGAGATTCATTGTCATACAATCACTGAGAATATCATGTTGATTGGCAAGAGCCCGGCTTTGTAGAAGGGACAAAATTCCCCACAGCTAATCTACAATGGAATTGTTCAATGTCAGGCACAGCTTTAATAATACTGTTCTCGGCTGCCTTGGATGTAAATATCCCACTCTTCATTTTGTAAGCAATCAAAGGGAAGTTTTATAGACAGGAGAGCATGAACAGTTATAATATCTGTGCCAAAAAAAAACCACACGGACAAAATCCAAAAATCAAAGAACACTGTGCCTTAGAAAGTCTGGCTTTGTGGCTTATCTCCAATCTCTGTCTGTCCAGCAAGTTGTGCATCAGACACATTACAAAAGACCACACTTTAAATGTTGCCCTTGACATTATTAAAAAGTACAAGATCGGCAAATCAGACTGGAGAAGAAAAGACAGACAATTAAATCTGGACAGTCAGGTAATCACCCTTCATTTTGTCTCAGGGTCTAGAATAATGAAGGGAGGAAGGGAACTCTTGGTCATTAAGCACCCACTGTGTACTGGGCGCTGTCTCTGTCAGAAGCAGTATTGTATTCCAAAATGAAGGGTGTTGAATGACGGAGCCAGAAAGACCTAGATTCACGACATAGCTCTGCCAGTTTCTAGCTCTGTGGCCTTAGGGGAAGTTGCTTAAGCTCTCTGTGCCTCAGTTTGTTTTTGTTTTATTTTTTCATCTGTAAAATAAGGATAATAAGTATCGCACATGATTGTTTTGAGGATTAAGTAAAATAAATTTGTAGCCTTGGGCCCAAAACATACCAGGAACTCAGTGGTGGATATTATAAATCTAGTTTTATTTCATCTGTACATCAGCCCTGTTATGAGTTGAATTGTGTCCCCCCCCCAAAAAAGAGATTAGGGGCTTCCCTGATAGCTCAGTTGGCAAAGAATCCATCTGCAATGCAGGAGACCCTGGTTCAATTCCTGGTTAGGGAAGATTTGCTGGAGAAAGAATAGGCTACCGACTTCAGTATTCTTGAACTTCCCTTGTGGCTCAGCTGGTAAAGAATCCACCTGCAATGCAGGAGACCTGGGTTCAATCCATGGGTCGGGAAGATCCCCTGGAGAAGAGAAAGGCTACCCACTCCAGTATTCTGGCCTGGAGAATTCCATGGACTGTGTATTCCATGGGGTCACAAAGAGTCAGACACGACTGAGTGACCTTCACACTCACTTCAAAGAGATGCTGAAGACCTAATCCCAGGACCTGTGGATACGACCCTCTTTGGAGATAGGGCCTTTGCAGATGATGGAGTTATGATGAGGCCATTAGAGTGTGTCCTAATCCAGTGTGGTTGGTATCCTTTTAACCAGGTGAAATTTGGACACACAGAAACAAAGGGAAATGCCCAGTGAAGATGAAGGGTCGGATGGAAGCATGGACAAGTCAAGGAACATTAAAGTTTTCTAGAATAATGACCAGAAGCTAAGAGGATTCCCCTACAAGTTTCAGAGGGATCATGACCCTGCCGACACCTTGATTTTGGACTTCTAGCCTCTGTAGCTGTGAGACAATAAGTATCTGTTGTTTTAAGCCACCCAGTTTGTGGCACTTTGTTGCAGTAGCCCTGGGAAGCTAATACAATCCACCCCTTCACTCTAGAGGAAGAAAAAGACAGTATCCTCATTTTCAGATGAATAACTGAATGATGAAGCCCAGAGAGGTATAGTTTATGGCTCAAGATCACTCAGCTAGAGGTGGATGAGCTGAGATTTGAATCCAGGCCTCTCTGAGACCAACATCTGCCCTCTCTCCATGCCCTGTGTGGCCTCTCAGGAACAATGCTCAAATTAAAAAAGGAGGTGGGGTTGCAAATGAGCCCCCCACTCATTACACCCAAGTCCCAGTGGAGGTGCCAGGTCATAGTGGTCTGATTATGAACAGCTCATTAAGTAAAGAGCAGCGAGCATTTGAGAGTGACTTTTTAAAAAGAATCGGATTTTATTTATAGTGACGTTCCAGTCATTAATTTCAAAGGAAGAAAGCCCAAAGCAGAAGTAGGTTCATTAAAAATTTGACATTAGTAATTTAATTAAATTGGGTTTTTGTGTCTCATTGCGGAAAATGAAACGTTAGTTCTACACCAGTTCTTAGCCCATTTCCCCAGGTTGGCTCCGTCCCCTAATCTTAGCTTGCTTTCTTCTCCAAATGTTTACCTGGCCCACCCCTTGCACCCCCAACGCTCACAAACACTCACATCACAGTCTCTGCCTCTGCTGTAGCCAGCAGCTTGGGTTTGTGGGAAATACTAAGGAAGCTGGCAGCAAGGGATTATGGGAAATGCCAAGGAAGCCGGCAGCAAGGGATTATGGGAAACACCAAGGAAGCCAGCAGCATGGGATCATGGGAAATGCTAAGGTATCCAGCAGCCCAAAGACTATATTCTTAGCTAAGTTAATAGGGTGATGAGGTCAATCCTTTTGTCTGGGTCATCTCACTTGTCAGAGGTAGAAAATAAGCAGGGAAGAGCTCTTTAGCCCTTAAGATAGTTCTCCCACAAAAACATAAGCCATTTAAGGGCAGAGACCCTTTTGTCAGTTCACTGCTCTATTACCAGCATAGAGTGCAGCTGGCCCACAATACATTTTCATTGCATGAAGGAATTAATGCCTCAGTGAGGAATTCTTGCAAATGACTAAGTAATGAACACTCAAATATATCCCTACGAGTGCCAGACACTGTGTTAGGCTCACAGGGTCTGCGTGGCTCTACAGCACAGTGGAAGGACATTTGCCATTGTTAAGCATCTACTCTGTGCTTGGGCACTGTGCCAGCCATGCATTGGTTATGATCAGTAACCTGGTCAACCCCTAGATATTACTGTCCTTTTTCAGTTGAGGAAAGTAAGGCTCCGTGAGGTCACATGACTCAAGGCCAGGGAATAAGACAGTGACAGCACCTGGCTTCAGACCGGATGAAACTAGTACCAAAGTCTGCCCTTTCCTTCTACAAGAAGGGAGGAGGAGAGGAGAAGGCAGAGGGAAAGCCTTCTTTCTGAGGGCTCTGGGATCAGTGTGGATGGCTGAGATGGTCCTGAAAAATAGCAATATGGGCTGGAAGAGGGTACATCAAGGACCTGGGACGCTTTCTAGAATCCAGGCTGGTCATCTCCATTTCTTTTTTTTCTCATCATTGCCACCCCTCCCCTCTTACTCCAGGCTCCCTGAACTCTTAGGCTGTCTCTGGCCTCAGGGTCTTTCCACATGGTATTTCCTCTTCCTGGAACACTCTTTGAACTAGCTAATTCTTACTAATCTTGCACAGTTCAGCATAGACATCTCCTCTTCCAGGAAGCTGGCTCTGACTAACCCCTGACTGGGTTTGGTCCCCTGTCTGGTTCCTATCTCGCTATAAAGGACTTGGTATACCTTTAACCATATGCGTGTCCCACTGGACTGGGAACTCAGATTCTCTTGTATGGTACTCTCTGTATCCAGGCTCTAAGCACTTTATATACCTCCACTTGTTTAATTGTCACAACAACTCCAGAGGAAGGTACTGTTGTGAACTGCCTCTTACAAAGGTGGAAACTGAGGCCCAGAGAGGTGAAGAGGCTTGCTCAGGGTCCCACAGGTCGTAAGCCACCAGGGTGGGATGTGAACCCAAGCACGAGGCTGTTAGGCCTGTACTTTCCACTGTCCTGCTCTATGGCCTCTCAGGGCTGGTGTCCATAAACCATCATCAGATGAAGTAATGGAGAAGTACTTTTATGGCATGTTTTCCCAGGTGGTGCAGTCCTAAAGAATCCTCCTGCCAACGCAGGAGACGTGGGTTTGATCCTTGGGTTGGGAAGATTCCCTGGAGGAGGGAATGGCAACCCACTCCAGTATTCTTGCCTGGAAAATCCAATGGACAGGGGAGCCTGGAGGGCTACAATCCATGGGGTTGCAAAGAGTTAGACATGGCTTAGCAACTGAGCACGCATGCATGCATTGGATGGCAGTCTGGGAACAGCTGGGACCACTTGTCGTCACCTTATGAGGCGATATGGAATGGTGAGAGGAGGGACCTTCTGGGCACAGGCAGTTCCAACTCGGGGAGGAAAGGCACAGGGTAGGGGAACTGAGTCAGGGTGAACATGTGACTCGGGCACAGAGGCGATGCACGCTCCCTTCCTCCCTCCTGACAGGCAGTCATGATGCTCTAACACCCTCAGCAAGACTATTCCTCTGCATAATGAACACACAATGGCCGCTGGCCCTTACTGCTCTGGCTCATATGGCACACTGTGTGTGGTATTCTCTGGCTCCCCATTTTCCCCTTGAAACGGGTCAGTCTGATCAGAACTCAGGTTCTTGTCTCCCTACCTCACTGCCTCTTTCCAGCACTAATTACCCCTTCAACTCCCCTAAACCTACTGGGCCAAAGTCCTCTTCTGGCTGCCAGGGCAGATAGTCATGAAAGAAAGGACATAGGGTTTAATGAGCACCTACTCCGTGCCACTGTCTGTGTCCCTTCCACGCTATTTAGTGGGAAGGACTGTGGAGTCTGAGATCAGAGCAATCAAACCCAAGAGATTAAAGTGATTTCCCTGGGGCATCTCAAGTGATGGGATTGACTTGTTACTGAACCAGGTTCGTTTTGCCCAACACACAGCAAGCCACAGCGCTGAGATGCCGAGGTTTGCAACAAAGAGAGGGGTTTATTCACAAAGCATCCCATCGAGGAGATGGGAGAACAAGTCTCAGATCTGCCTTCCCAAAGGCAAGTTCAGTTCAGTTCAGTTCAGTCGCTCGGTCATGTCCGATTCTTTGCGACCCCATGAATCGCAGCACGCCAGGCTTCTCTGTCCATCACCAACTGCCGAAGTTTACTCAAACTCATGTCCACTGAGTCAGTGATACCATCCAACCATCTCATCCTCTGTCATCCCCTTCTCCTCCCGCCTTCAGTCTTTCCCAGCATCAGGGTCTTTTCCAGTGAGTCAGCTCTTCACATCAGGTGGCCAAAGTATTGGAGTTTCAGACTCAACATCATTCCTTCCAGTGAACACCCAGGACTGATCTCCTTTAGGATGGACTGGTTGGATCTCCTTGCAGTCTGAGGGACTCTCAAGAGTCTTCTTCAACATCACAGTTCAAAAGCATCAGTTCTTTGGCACTCAGCTTTCTTTATAGTCCAACTCTCACATCCATACATGACCACTGGAAAAACCATAGCCTTGACTAGACAGATCTTTGTTGGCAAAGTAATGTCTGCTTTTTAATATGCTGTCCAGGTTGGTCATAACTTTTCTTCCAAAGAGTAAGCGTCTTTTAATTCAAAGGCAAGGGCCTTGGGATATTTGTGGGATAGAGGCTAGAGAAGCAAGGTGGTCTGAGGCTTGGGGAGCATGGGGAAAGGTGATTGGATAAAGGTGCAGTGATTATCCTTCTGCACACATGTAACTAAGCTACAGGCCTTTCCATGTTTTGAGGGCACTTAGCACCATCTGAGGGTGGAGTTTTCAGCCCTCTGACATCAAATGATCACCGAGTGTTCACTCACAGATGCCCAGTGAGAACGTGGGTGGTGTTATCTAGTCTTAATCAGCTCAACCAGACACAAGTTCCGGGAAAACAATTCAGGCAAGCATTTGTGGTTTGGGCTCTGTGAGCCCTCTGTGGGCTCCTCTGTGGAGGAGGACATGCAGCCCTTTTGTAGCAATAAATAAAATGACCCTGAGTGGCGAAGGCAGGATACAACTGTAACTGATTGAACTGATCCACAGCTTCAAACATACTTCACACCCAGGGCTGCTCATGAGAAAGTGCAGGAAACCTGGATGTCCGGGAATAAATTGTCCGGGCTCCTTTTGAGCACGTGGCCCCTGTGAGTACTCAGGGACCAGGCAGCTGTGAGGATGGCGGTCCTGTTCTAGGGAAGATAGGAGGCTTGGGGAGGAGGGTCCCCAAGAGAGGTGGTGCTTGGAGGCAAGGGATCAGGGCTGGAGCCCCGTTCATGGGCTGCATCTCTCTTTCTGCTCACAGTTCTCCCCAGCCACACGTGCGGGAACCCCGGGCGGCTGCCCAATGGCGTCCAGCAGGGCTCTACCTTCAACCTCGGCGACAAGGTCCGCTACAGCTGCAACCCTGGCTTCTTCCTGGAGGGCCACGCTGTGCTCACCTGCCACGCTGGCTCTGAGAACAGTGCCACGTGGGACTTCCCGCTGCCCTCCTGCCGAGGTAGGTGGCCAGGGCGGGTCTCAGGGGTGGATGGCACCTGGGAGGCCTGCTGGACCTTCCGGTGGGAGCCGGTCTCCATCTGCTCCAGCAGGAGGTGGGGTCCCCACTATGGGGAGTGCATGTCTTGGGGCCACCCAGGGTCCTCAGGGGCCCCACATATTCAGGGGGCTTTTAGGCCTCATCAGACTTCCTAGCCCTCAGGTATGTACTCCCTCAACCTCCTTCCTCCACATCAGCAAATTTATTTTTAGCTGGTCTGCCCTCTGCTCATGCCCTCTTGTCTTAGAAGAGACATTGTTTCTCTTCCTGTTACCAACGTGTCTCCTGTGAATGGCTCTCTACTGACTGCTTTCCTCCTGACCTCACCCTGGCAGTTCTCTCTTTTCTTTAAATTCAGCCCCTCCCTCTGTTTAATGGTGTCCTCCTCTCAGCCTTCAAATATGCTCAGAACCTCTTTACCCCAACACTGCCCCCCAGAGAGCCCCATCTCCCTCCAGTGCTATGTCGACCTCAACCTCCCAACTGGGGTGACCAGCTCGTCCTGGTTTCCCCAGCACATCCCCATTTCTTAGTTCCCAGAGTCCTGCATCATGGGCACCCCCCTCAGTTCCAGGCAAACTCAGACAGTTGATCACCCTTTTCCCAGCCCATTTCTCCCTCTCCCCACAATAATCAAGCTTATTTCTAAGATAATTTCTCATGCCTCTTATCTGATAACTAAAATAGCACATGATCATTTTAAGTGATCTTAGCAAATACAGAAAAGAATAAAGAAACAAAATTTACCTGTTTTGCTGATTTACAATGTTGTGTTAGGTTTAGGTGTACAGCAAAGTGATCCAGGCTTCCTTGATAACTCATCTGGTAAAGAATCAGCCTGCAATGCAGAAGACCCCAGTTTGATTCCTGGGTCAGGAAGATCCACTGGCGAAGGGATAGGCTACCCACTGCAGTATTCTGGCCTAGAGAATTCCATGGACTCTGTAGTCCATGGGATCACAAAGAGTCAGACACGACTGAGCGACTTTCATTTTCAAAGTGATTCAGATGTACATATATCTATATATATTC